ACAATTTTATGCGCATGAATTGGCCAATGCAATTCACAATTTTCTCACATCTAACTCATGCCCTAGCGTTGAGGAAAATGCTCTGTTCGGCTGGCAACGGATCGCTCACTCAGACCGCTTCTGTCTCAGATGGTCATGGTTGCCATACTAGCGCAGACAGATCCAAATGAAGCAAATGTTAAAAACCTCTGAACCTCACTTTTTTGAGTATGCAAGCCCTGTCCAAAACTCCTTGCAAAGATGACTTGGTTTGAAGAATTGCATGACCTAGATAAAGCGTCTCACCAGAAGTAGTGTAAGTTTTGGGGATGTAGAAAAGACTTCACAAACATCACGTGCTACCTCCTCAAGTTACGTGAGAATTACTAAGTCAAAAACATTTTTTGCCAAATCATCGGGCAAATAATAAAGAAGATTTTGTACTCTTTGAGTATTTCGCCTTATTTAAATGTTGGAAGCGCTTACTGGCCTTTCCGACGCATCCAAGTAAGTTGTCTCAACATCTTAGGTATGCAAATGGCCACAGTTCTCTCGAGCACACTTTGACCTCTCCTCATTGTTAACTATCCAAACAAAAAACGCCTTAATCGTTTGAACCGTTAGGTTAAGTCTTGCAGAGGCGACAACAATTGCACAGTCAGATGAAAATAGCAAAGCATCCCTTAAAAATCTTTTGATACGTGGAGGCAATATGCACCTTCCAAGCTAATGGTTTGAATCCTCTCACGTTTTCTAATATTCCAAGCGTCCATAAAACTGAAACCTCCAAACTTGTGAGAAATGAAAACGAGAATTATAGTAATTTGCAATTAAAGATACTTTTAGCCGCCCTTTTTAAGGCCTTTTCTTCACTATTAATAACTTAAATCTTCACACAAAAAATGCAAATTTTTCATCCCTTCGGCATCGTTCACTGGCATTGAATCAGACTATTTGTTTAACCTAAAATGGAAAATTATTTAGGAGTTGGAAGTGAAAACTTCAACCATTTATATACTTTTTGATAAATGGGAAGTGCAACATGTGAAACAATTTCAACTATTTTGATGAATCAACGTCACCACAAAAAAAGCGAACCACAAACTGCTGGTCCACTTCCCTAGCTTATGGACCATTTGAAATGCATTAATTATTTCTTTTCATTGCTCTAACCTGAGTAGCTCCTCTTCGCTCTCTTTTATATTCAAACTGTAAAAAGGAAATGGAAATGTGAAGATAATGTGGTTTTAATTCGGGATTGGAGGTGCAAAACACTTTACTGAGTGTACGTTGACCTTAAAACCTGTCTTCTGTTGAGCTTTTCTTCTCATTCTCTAAGATTTCGGTCCCCTCATTATGGGGATGGGTGGTGGAGGCACAAAGGCCGTGCGCTAAGTAGGTCAGCTTTGAGTCCAGTTAGTGCCTCCATTTGTACGAAGTGGTAAGAAGGCAGCTCCTGCAATAAAGTCGCGCAGTGCTTTAACAAATATTCCAGCATGAAGTTCTACTATGAAACAAATTTCTTCCACTAATGTTACATCTTCTCGAATGTTTGGGATTGCTTAGCTTACACCAACTCGAAATTTACAGGTTCATACAAAGTACGGAGGTCAGCTTGTCAGGAAGTGGAGTCAGAAGGTGAATAACTGCTGCAGCTAAGTAAGATGCTGCTCTGCCCTGACCAGCCATGAACAAATGCATACTTAACGATGAGAAAGGCTAAAATACAATCGTGCATTAAAAGACTAGGCGTTGGTGGTGGTAAATGCCTTTCGGTTTGGCAAGGCACCAACATCAGGAACACATTCTAATTTCCGAAGCAGATGCTAGATTATGGAAGAATTTATAACCTTAAGGAATTTATTTTTATTCTCTCCAATGAGTCATTCATCCATAGTGCTATAATTTGCAAACAACTTTAAGAATTAAACTTCTTAAAGAGATGAAGGTGATCTCAAAAGTGGCAAAAAATGTTATTTAAGATGCGCAGTTGGTGAAGTCCTCCAGCAACGGATGGGAAGTTGCTTCACAGCACAGCTCTCTTCTCCACAAAAAAACACTTGTGTTGACGATAGAAAATTTTCCAAAAACAAGGAAAGCGGAGAAAGAAGATGGAGCTCTGATTCATCGAGGCGGCAAGTATCCTCATTTCATTAGTCATTTTAATGGGGAGGATTTAGGGAGGTCGAGCCGACATCTGCAGCTGTCATTGTGTGTGTATGTTTGTTTGTGGAACATAGGTGAGGTGCCTTATGGTTTCCCCTTTTACACATGTCCAAAAGAAGAAATGATCGAGTTTTCAGAATCCTATTACCCTTTCATGAGGTCAGGTGGGGAAAAATGTCAATCTCTGTGCCAAGTATGAATCCCCTTTTTAGTCCATAGCATTGCAACGGCATCCTATTCACGCAACACCATCTGATCCTCTCTTTACTTGTCAGCATTACTTAGAGTAGCTTTAGCAGTTTTTTATGTCTCCATGCAGTGCTTTGTTTCCAAACAAGGCGAGGCCACAGCCTCTTCAATGCACTGACTGTCTTCCCCAGTGGTGTACTTAAAGCGCACAGAAGACGAATGATGAAATTACTTAATATGTAATTGCTTCCAACTCCCTAGGTGAATAAGGGAAAGTTTTATTTACATTTATTTTTCTTTTGGACCCGCATCAGACAGACCAAGCGTTTTATGGTCAAAGGGTCAACGGGCAAACAAGTGATAGAGAATGTTTTGATGGCGGACGACCATTTGTTGTCTCAGTGCGAGTGCTTTGAACTCATGCAAAAATCCTCTCATAACCAGTAAATGCAACTTGCAACAACTTGCAAGAACGCGACAATAAATTAGCACTAAGAATAAAACGTATTTTAAATGAACTTGTGTGGGTTCCAAGACTATAATGATATAAGGTTTTTTAAAGTCATTGGTTTTACAATTGGCGCATAAATTTTCGGGTCTTCTGGCCCTTTTGTACAAACACCTTCGAGTGGGATCGTCTTCTTAAGTCTGAGATGGGCTGCGTCAACTTGGGCTCAGCTGCAACTACCTCGATGGAACGTGTCATGCTGAACCTTTGAAAGGTACTCGTTGAAAAGGTAGCAGTTAATCACTCAACCGATCGGCGTACCCATCCTTTTGAAGGAAAAGAGCACCGTGGTAGTTTGATCAAAATGCAAAACTGTATCGAGTTGGCATTGCTAGTAACATCCAAGCTCAACAGTCGGAATCAGGAACCCCTCGGTAAACATGCACAAGTTCTCTAACAAATATTAGCCTTTCTACGAATTCTGTGACACCCTCAAACACAGCCGCGCCATGCTTAGACAGATTCTCAAAACACTATGGGATTTCACATTTTTGACAAGTAAGGGTTCCATGAACCCTAGGTGGAAAGAGGAAAGTAACTGAAACTCGCGAACTGTAGTATAGTTAACTTATTTACACCGGACAAAAGCATCTATTATTTATTCTTGTGATAAAAAAAGGCAACCAAATAATTTTATGTCTAATTCGGGTGTGTTGAAGTGGATTTAATGTCTGTTATAGCTCACGCCTTTGGCATTAGCCAATTGGATCATAACGCGGCCACTGAGGCCATTGTGTCAGCAGTCTGTTTGAAGCAAGCATTCTGGTAACCGTCTTATGACCACCTCATAGAGACATTTCTTCGCTTGAAGAACACCAAAGCACATGAACAAGTTGGAGGGCTACTTATTTCCGGTTGTTGATCCTAATTTAACGCATATTTCGGCTTTGATAAGTGACTGCGGTATCGAAAAGCCTCGCGTCTAAAGTGGGTGTGGTTATGTATAAGATAGGAGGACCTTATAAATATATTTATGCCGAAACAATTGTATTCATCACCATTTAGAATCTAACTTAACCTAATGCGTAGGCAAGGTATTAACCCCCTTGTTTTTGTCGTGGATGCATCACCGAACCCAAGCATCATTATCGTGGCCTGTTATTAGGCATTTGCATTCTGCTACACAAAAAAAACAAAGAATACAACGATGCACGTCTTGCATTTCTTGGTGTTTTCGAACGAAAAAAGGGCAATTTGATGGCTGTTGGGATGGTTGGCTACCCTTAGGATCATTCTTTGGACGTTCATGCGACGCCAACACATTGCAAAAAGTACTTCGCAAGTAGGTAAGTAGACGCTGTCATTGACGCTATCCTAGGTTCCATAAAGTGGGAAAGCTATTTTCTTGATAACTATGAAGGCAGAGGATGGAATTTAGTTGGCGAGGTTCTTTTTTCCTTTAAAAATGGAAACGAATCGTAAAAGTAGTCCCTCATTTGTCGCAAGCAAAGATAGAGCTAAATGTTTGACTTCAGTGCATCCAATTTATAAAGGAAATCGGTGTTTTTTTTTGCAACTAAATCGGATGATGGCTGGTTATAAGCATTTATAGCTTACAGACATTTGAGTTTCAGGTAGTAGGAGCACTTATTTTTTGTCCTTGGGCAGCGAATTATGCAAACTTTTTTTATTTTTAAAAGGGGAAAACGATAACGTCCCCCGCAACACCCGCTAAATATTGGGTTAAGGAAATGTCAGCTGCTATATTTTCCAAACCCCGCTGTGTTTATAAACCGTCAGCCGCATAAACTTTCCACAGCAATTAGAGCGCTAATAGGAGAGGAGGAAATGGGAGCAATGCCTTCTACGTTCTTAGCATTGGAAGGAATAGAACTTGGCTTTGTTGTGCCACACAAAGGCGGTTGAAAGTACAGTCGTGTCAACTTGAACGGCCCGCGGACAAACATATACGACCGCATGCACGCGCGCACAAACGCAGGAGTGCACACGCACGCACGTGCTCGCACGCGCGCACAAGAAGGCACGGCCGCACCGTTGGCTCTCGCTGTTATCCCCAGTTTATTTGGACCGCTCCGATTCGCTCCCCCCGAACACGTCTTTAAGATAAAAAGCGCCACTTTCGATTTCTACCTATTAGATCACTTTACTAAAGCACACTATTTCGCGCTTCGTAGTAAAGCATTTGTCAAAGCATACCATGACCATATCAAGCCCTATGAATTGTGGCATCGTGCTAATTGCGCTTGCCTTGATAATGACAGTCAACTGTGCTCTCACCCATGCTCTCTTCAGACAGCCTCCGATAGTGGAAGGAGCGCAGCTTAGCGGTCAGGACCAGGAAGAAGAGGAGAGAATGTGGGTGGATGCTGTCCCCAAAATTGAGGTAAATGAAGAAAATACGATGGATGATGTTGAAACCAAGCGAACCATGGAAGAAGAGGAGGAGGAGGACCGAGAAATGGAAGCTAAGCGGCGAGCTGAAGAAGAGGAGTTTACACGACAGATTCACATTGAAAAATTTAAGCGAACTTTATTGCAACGCCTACATCTGACCGCCCCTCCAGACTTCAGTCGTCACGGTGGAATGGCTAATCGAACTCATGGAAGACGTATGCTTCGGTCTCTTCCATTGGCGCTTCAAGGGCGCCTATTAAATCAAATGCGCGCTGAAGATGGAGCAGCGGAGCCACCACCGGATAGGACAGACGAGAGGGAAACACTTATCCTTCTCAAACACCGTAAGATCTTAATCCCTCTTGTTTGCTCCGCACCAAAAACATTCCTTAAAATATCCCTATCAAATGCATCAATAATTTATTGTGAACTATTTAAGGTTCAATCAAAGAAATGAGGAGATGATTGGAGTTGGATCTCCTCTATGAATTACTGGTTGTGGTTTTAACATTTAGTATTTGGACAGGGTTGTAAAATTTATTTCCCTTGTGATGGGCACTATTTGCTCCAAAATGGCTTTATGCACTCCATGTGAAGGAATTTCAGTGGAGAAGATGCATCACTACTCGAGTGACGTGGCATCCGCTTAGTGGCTTTTTTTTGCAGTATGCCAACTGTGCTTCAACTAATCAGCTTGCCTGGTTGTGTTTGTGCACGTTAGTGGCAAAACAGTGTGACTAGGTTACAGGCACAAAAACCGTCCTAAAGGTCTAGAAAAACGGCGAATCCTGCAACAGCCACTTCTGCTACTACTAGTATCAACATGAGTTTGCAGCACGTGCAACTCTGACTAATTCGCCCCGTTGAATCATTTCCATGCGCGTGCCAAATTTACACTATTGAGGAGGGTGTCCTCACTCCTGGAGACCAACCCCTTGATGACGTATACATTTGGTTTAAAATTAGCAGCAGGCACAACAACGGTTACCCAAAGAGTGGGTGTACGTATGTGTGTGGAAGGAGACATCACCTCGTTTTGGGAGACATAAACCGCCAAACACCTAAACGTGTGTCTTTTCCGCCTTCAGTGACATTGGCACAGGTTTTCTCGCAGTATGAGGGATGTACATTTAGTAAAAATTAAACAGTTATATTGTATTATGCTCCCTTTTCAGTGCATTGGAGGCTTCCAAAAGTCGCTTCTTCCACCTTTGGAATCGAAATGGCGGACGATATCGACCCCTCGAGAATACAATCAGCTTTTCTTCGATTTGAAGTAAATCCCAACTATCATCAACTACCAGGTCTTTTTTGAAACAAACGACTAATTACGGTTCGCAACTTTTGTAACAGACAAAGAACCCGATGCTGAAGGGCCAGCAGCTAGAAGTATGGGAAATCTTCATGAGTCCGCGGGATCAGGAAGAGGAACTGACGAACGAATCTGCTGATCGATCTTCTTCAGAACAGTACAATAATTTGACGTGGATGTTTGAACGACAATCAACGGGATATACGAGCCTTCCAGCACCTGCAGTTATTCGTGGATCTCTTAGCTCCCCAATCGAACACCGTCGAACAGGTTCGATTCGCATTCGTCCAGGTCGTCTAGCGGAAACATTTGTACCAAGTTGCCCAGGTTTAGTTCAAGTCACCTTTGAAATCAGTGGCACCTTTGCTCAATGGATGTCACATAGGCGACGAATGCCGCTGATGCGAAAATTAGTCCGTTCTCTTCTTGTTGTTTGCCCTCAGTGCAGCAGCCACGTCGATCCTGTTGATGTTAATAAGGTACGTGTGCATGAAGTTAATGGCCTGGGGAAATGATTATCATCAAAGGCGTGAGACTAATTTAAAGTACTTAATATTTTCAGGGAATTCTCGAAATTCATCATCGCAACGTCGTCCGACGCACGCGGAGGTCACTTGACTCCAACGGTTCTCATCACGTTCCCATTGGTAATCCGTGTAGCCCAAAGGGACACAAATTCAGCTGTTGCACACAACCTTTTTCACTGAACTTGGAGGATGTTGGCTGGAATAATTGGATTCTTCACCCGAAAACCGTTGAACCCAATTATTGCCATGGTTCTTGCCAGGGTGAGTTTTCATTCCTTTCTCAACTCTATTTATAGGCACTTTTCACCTAAGACGTATCAAGTGCTCTTAAAATACTTGCACAAATTTAAATCCATCTAAGATTTAGACTAAAAGATCGCAATTGCATTTTTAATAACAGGTTGAGGTAGTGACTTTGAGGCATAGATTTTTCGAGATATTGGTGGCAGAATTCATCTATGCATGAAACTGTTAGGCGAGATTATTGAGAGAATGAAAGCTCGGCAAGGTAGTGAAGTGACTTTCCTTTACAACTTAAAAAAAAGATGGAGGTGTAATCAGTGGTGTGGAAACAGTGTGATGATGGCTTAAATAAGTATCTCTTATTAATCGGAAAAGAAAATCAAAACTCTCTCGTTTTGCCTAGACATTAAAAGAGAAGCTATTAAATTCACATAGTGCGGTTTTTAATCACGGTTTTCGAGTGGCCCACTACTTTTGTTTTTGTACTCCGTGTAATTAACGCTGGAATGCATAGGGCGGAAGAAAATTATCCTTGACTACCTTGAAGGCATTGTAGAATGTGGCACTTAACACGAAAAAGGATTGCGAGTTAGTGTTTGTCAGAGTAGCTTGTTCCTTTGGGAAAAGGAATAGTGAAGAGAGAACAAAGTACGCCGAAGGTAAATAAATGCATCTACCCAGTGATGTTCGAAGAAATGATTTTAATGAAGCAACATGTCTTCCCTTCATTTTATTACTAAGCTTTTCTGCTAAAGTGATATAATTTAAAGTAGCCAAATGTCCAAATTTGAACGACTTGCCATTTTTCTAAATCTCCACCAAATCATCATCATTCAATTCTCCAAATTTAGAGTTGAAAAATTAAATGCTTTCATTCCGTGAAATGTTTTTACTGTTTCAAACATAACTTTTTTTCCACTTGACAGAAGTTGTGTGTGTGTGTGTGTGTGTGTGATTGTGCAATGGAATTGAACAGACACTCATTAATCTACAGTGGAGGGGGACGGAGGAATGAATGGCCCGAAGAGGGCAACACTTGCAACAATGCGCGACACCAAAAGTACAGAGCGTTTTTTGTAGGGCAAAGCGACAAATGCATTAGCAACGTAGCGGTTATGCGGTTATTTATTTCCTTATAAATCTATTTGGTTATTTTTTGGGATGGAGAAAATCCTTCATATTGGAATTAATAAAGCGTTACACAATCGAGGCGTAGATGGCGAAAAGATAGGCCGCACCAAAAGGGATGACTGGGTTGGGGGGTTGGAGAGGTGGTATGATAATATCATCACACAAAACTGCGGCATTTTCTGTATGTGTGTGTTCCCACTCGCCCCTAGAATCCACAATGTTGGTTATTGTGTTGTGAAGCCGAATGCCCCAAAACCTCAGCATAAACAAACAGTTTTTTTGCGTCTAGGTGGAGCCTCTGTTCCAAATAGCGATGGGAACGGGATCCCTTGTTACTAACTTCAGTCAAGAGGGTGGTAAATATCCGAAATGAAAGCGATTCAATAGGCCAAAAGATAAAAGGATTCTGTGCAAGAACTCATGTTGTCTTTTTGTTTCACTTATTTCGCCAGATTTGACTCGTATTTTGAAGCAGTCATGCTTAAGCCGATATACCTCACATGTGTGGAGTTAATGGAATGCATCGTTTTGGGCAATCACCACATGAAAAAAATGTGCTTTTGTTAACACCTGGACTAACAAGCTTTTCTCACTCTGACCGATCACACCGATGCATGTGTTCCTATAAGTTCTTTTTGTTGAAGCAGATTTCTACGCCGTCAAGTCTCAATTAGGCACTGGGGGATGAACAAACCTTCTGGAATGTAGGGAATGCTACTCCTGGGTGATGAATTTGGCAATCAAGGAACATGCATAATGACGGATAAAAACGCATAAATTGTATGGGAATAAGGGCATGGGATGCCTCCTAAGTTTTGGTTTTCCTGCATAATAGCCCTATCATTGTGACTTTTTCCTGTGCACAATTGCCTATTCTACTCTTTCCTTCCAAAGTTAAGTATAAGAAGGATTGATATCCATTTCATGCTATGGCTTTGTGAATTCACGTCCTCAACTTGATTAAAGATAATTTTTCTTCATTTCCTCTGAAACAACAATTATTGCTTTATAAAGATAGCATGCAGCTTAGAGTTCGAGTAAATCAAAGAATACTTTGATATTTATAATAGTGAAGGTAAAAAAACTTCAAACTTAAACAGATGAAGACTCAAACTTTGATCTTGAGCTTAAAAGCTGTATAATTTTTAGCTGACGGAATTCAAAAGACTCCGCACTCTGACCTGATGCACATGTACCGGAGCCAAAATTACGACCACCTGTCCGAGGTTCAACGAGAAGCGATGCTGTCCTGCTGTCACCCCGTCAAGATGGCGAGCACCAGTGTGCTTTATGTGGATCCCGACAACGAGTTGCATATGGACACCCTCCACAATATCATTGTCCTAGAGTGTGGTTGCAGTTGAGAGGCCATCTCTTCTATCAACATTTTATGACAGGGAAACACCAAATCTCTATCCTCCCCGCATTTACACATTGCCTCCCCTTCCCTCCCTTTCCCTCAATTGGTGTTATTGTAACACGGTGCCTGTGCGTTCGTGCCGATATCTCATTCCATGTTTGCATTCTATACCTATACGTATGACACACAAACACGCGCACACTCAGACACAGAGGAAACACACCAGACGAATATTTGGTGTAGCTTTTCCTCATCCCTTTTTCACACAAATTCTGTTGAAGATATTACAAAGTACAGAGCGGTCTGTGAAATAAGATCGAGTTAGCAGAGCCGTTAAATGAGGGGTAAACTGGAGCACCTCGAGGAGGACTCACAACATTCCACTCGAAAGCTGATTTGACATGATCCCTTTTACTTCCCTTCCCATCCCACCCAACGCCACCACACGCTCGCATATTCACACCGAGTGCAGAATTTTACACACCCCCTTCTTCTGTCAGTAGTGGTGATTTAATGTGTGGTTTGCCTTTCCCGTTCTTGCATGTGTTCTTCTATACATATATGTGTCGCCTTATTGTTATATTTAGTTTACTGTTGCATTTGAGTGAGTGGGAGAATATCGAGGCTTGTACATGTCAGGAGCCACAGACGCCATCACTGCCGCCTTTAAACGTCTCAAACAGCTGCGGGAAATTTTCAAATCTGAGCAAATGTTTCACTTTCTGCTTTCCAGAGGGGATTCTGGATATTTTATAGTCAAATTATGTTTAGCTGTTAGCAGATATGTCAAATGAGGAGGTACTGTCGCTAAAGTAATTTCTGCTAACGCCTTTTAATAAGTTAACCGGAGGCATTAACTGTTTAATCTCTTCCCGTTCTCATAAAGATGTAAAAAGCCTCGTAGTAAGTGGTGAAGATCAAATTCACCGGTATCTTGGGGTGGAACTATGTGAGACAAGGAGCTGGCTCTTGGGTTTGTTTCCGTTCATTTTAGTGGGTGAAGTTTTGCGCAGCACAGAGGGAATGTCTGAAAAGCTTTCTTTTCACGTAACTCTGACAAAGTGGGCAAAAGAGGCCAAAAAAAGGAATGAAAAATTATCAAGTGTTGTCAATAACAGTTCCCGCGTTTGATTAATTGTGTCGTGCTAAAGGTGATATTTTTTAAAGAAGAATTGCAGGCATTTTTTGATCTCATGATGATGACATTTAAACTTAGCAAAACATGGTTTTTTCCCAGAAAGAGACACTTCTTTGATGACAAATCGCGACCGTAAAAACATGATAAAGGAATCCGCCTATTTTCAGCCAATTGACAAGACTAAAGTGAGAAACTATTAAGATTTTTTGTCAATTTTATTGTGCAATGTTGCACGTCTTGAAGCAAATGGAACGCAATAAATTTAAGAGAGGAGCTTCATATTCGACAACACAAGCCAAATAAATCTAGAGGCACAGAAAATATGGAGGTTCAGACAATGGACTCAAGAAAAATTTGAAGATTCTCATGCTTGAAGCACGAGAAGCTGAGTATTTTCTACCGTAAAAGTGGTTCCTGCTACGGATGTCTTTCTGTATAATGTATTTTAGCTTAAACAGTCAGCGGTAATCAAATGTCAGGGATCGTCCAAATTCAACTAAAGGATTTTAGTACCTAATTCTCCTGCAAAGGAAAATATGTTAAAGCTTTTACTTATTCTATAAATATCAACGCATTACTACGAATATCCACGAAAAATGACATCTTAGCAATCTTCATGAGCAATTTTAAAAGTTTTAATGACTCCTGTTGTAATATTTCGTGGAGCACTGGTCAGGCAGGACGCATTTTACCTCATCACATCCCTTCGTCAAACTAAACTTACTCAAATTGTGCGGTTTTGCAAATTCCTAAAGGCAGGTGAAAAGTAACTTGTGTTTGCACTTCGTTCGTCTCTTCTTCACCAGCCATTTCAATATAATACACTTCTAGACTGTTTTACTCGGACCAGTGAAGAACACCAAGAAAATGCTAACTCTATCTACACAAACAGATGACACAACAAAAGTGCCAATGGTCTTCAAGCATTACGCCCTAAATGGCGTCACTTGGCATAGATGAATTTGGTTAATGAAATGCAATGAAGAGGCTTGACAGCTGCCCTGGTCATTTACATGCTTGGTTTTTGATTTCTTTTAATGGACGACCTTGGGGCAGCCAATGTAGTTCTAAGGCATTATTGCTTAAGGCAGTGGTAGTTGGGTGTTGTAATAGGCTACTTCTGCTGACTTAAGACGGCACCACAACCGCTGAAGTCTTGTTAAAACTGCAGCGCTTGGAAGTAGAGGTGATTAGCCAGACAAGTCATCACGCCTACTACTTGGGCGCAAGATTTACAAAGCCACAACTTTTACTTCTTACGTGGGCGTTGTAAGCTGGCCTCTTCTGTTATAAAGTCGAGCTTCGATAGGGGTTAATTACTTCTTTTTTACTGACCATAAATTGATGGTGGATAAAAGCTTGGGATTTAGGTTTTACTATCTTTATGGACACATGTTCATAAGATCGTACTGGGGATTCAGTCAAATACTAGAAAACCAAAATAATCTTTGTTGCATGTTGTCTTCAGCAGTGAGCTTCTTTATATATGCTGTTAAATATAACCATCATATTATACAAACTGATCCTCAAAATGTCAAAGGAGATAATTTGTCGCTAGGTCATTGGAATGGCTTGAACGCTATACGTTAAGGAAGTAATATAGGCATTTATATAAAATTGCTTTTTTATGGGTACAGCTTTACAATTTAAGAAAAGAACCATTAGCCATGATACGAGCCGTCAAGATTTTAACTGCAGTGCCTCAGCACACAACTGAAGTGCTCCAAAACGCAATTAAAAAATGCATTTCGGTAACAAGGAGCTGTGAAATATTCGCCATTTCCTTATTGCACTCTCACGAGAAGAGTCTAAACCAACTAATTGAAGTTCTCTTTAAATTTTGGTCATTATAGTCTATCACAACAACTTGCTCGTTGAGACTGCAGTTACATAAGCCTTTCTTCACTCACGAAACAAACAATCGACGGTGCTGCCTTAATAATTTTCTACTTATTAAAAATATTCGTTTATTAAACACCTACTCACTGTCTTGAAACACTTCTTCTGATACCAATCCTGATTTTATATTGGTCAGAAGGAGTGAGAGGATTCACAATTTTCTCAGCATTGAGGCAATTGGACGATGGGCGCGCAAGTCCGACCAATCACACGTCTCAAATTTTTCGCTCTTGTCAGCAGTATCAACAATATTGCCACAACTACCATCACCATTATCAGCATCATCACATTGCTTATGATAATTATCATTATCATTCATTAAAAACCTCATGATTAATGCGCACGTGGGGGGTCGTGCCTATAACCTTTTCGGACAGGGCAACAACTCTCAGGTGGTTGGGGGAAAAGGTCAGGAGAAGATAACAATAAAAAATGCATCTTCCTTCACCGCATGGGGGTGAGGGATCCTTGTACACAGCTAGAAGGCAGTGGCGGCCAATGTTGTGAAAATACGAGGTTCTCTTGCCTTCGGGAATTTTTCAAATAGAATTCCATTGGATCTGCGCCAGTGACCTTTCTGCGGCGTAGCCCCCTAACCCTTGCCTCACCACCCAAACACCTGAAAAAGGCACAGAAATATTTGAGGGGAAAATGTGAATATGTATACACTGTGTGTACGTGAGTGGGTGAGCTTTAAAAAAGCCTGTATTATAATGTCTTCTTTTCATTCCGATCGCCTATAAATATCTACAGTTGTGGGATCTTAACAGCATTGGATCTCTTCTTTTCAACAATTAAGGGGGTGTAAGTGAAGGACGCGAGGTAAAGGTCAAACGGCTTTGCTCACTCTTTCGGAAAACCTAAAATGTTTTCACGAGTTTTGGTAAATTAAAGCCCTTATCCCTCATCAAACGGAATGGTGTGCTAGCTACAAATCAGAGGTAACCCCAAATTAACATACTTTTGATGCAGCCTTAAAGCTTTAAAACTTCGTCGTAATGCATTCTGTTGCAGTTTCTTCTCTCTGTAAAAGTAAAATGCGCCTGCAGTTGGGCGACTGTGTCCTTGGCTTTGCAAAAAATAAAGCTTCAATTTAGGGTCCACGTGCTTGTATTAAATTGGAAGCTCTGTGTGGTAGGAAAAAGCTAGAAGTGTTGTGGATAAATTTTGAATTTTAAGACATTGGTTTCAACCATCATAAATTTACTAAAAGAACCTTTTGATTACAATATTTTCCTGTTCTGGACCAGTTCATTAGTTATTTTGCTCTGCCTCCTCTCGCAAAAGTTGCCGCCACTAAGACCTTGTTGGAACGATACCTCCAATGATCACAAGCAGACGACTTTCTTTCCAGGCGCATGAGCACAATACTTTTGCTACATGCTCAAACTATCTGTGCCTGCTCGTCCTTTCACAGGGTTTGATCACACCTTACTAAACTTGTTACTAAGGCTATGTGATAGTTCTTTTGTTAAAGGCTTCGAGTATTTCCTCCTCCTGCTCGGCAAATACGAGTCAGGTCAAATAATAATATTAGCCGGTTATAGTTGCTTAACCTGTTCTTCCCTTTATGCAAGACCTATCAAGACTGTCTCAGCATCAACATTAAATAGACCTACTCAGTCTAAGAAATAAGCAGACATGGTGAGATAATAAACTCATAGGCCTTACCATCATGTTTTCACTTGATTGGATTCAATGTTAACATACCTATAGATGTTCAGTTCCATTTTTGATTGCTTGACTTTTCGTATCACGCAACAGGCCAACTCGCCTTAGATCCTTTTGCTGAAGATTTGAAGCAACGCGATCACTGTGCATGAGAATCAAACCCCGTGTTTTTGATGTTCACGGTGTAAAAGTAGTGCGGATATGTACCGAAATTAGCCAGCTCTGATATGACAATCCTCTGAAGTCCATTCCAAAAATAAATTTCATCTTTGGGCTCCATCTAAGCCTGTTCATGC